TTGATGGTTGCAGTAGGGGAAATCCGGGGCAATCGGGGATTGGAGGTGTTTTTAGGGACGAAAATGGGGTCATCTCTGCCATGTTCTCAGGCCCAATTGGAGTGGGTGACTCCCTTAGAGCTGAGATCCTTGCAGTTATGGAAGGAGTCCGGAAAGCTAAGGAGTTGAACATCAAGAAATTCATAATTGAAGGGGATTCGGAGGTGGTGATAGGATGGCTGACTAAAGATCAAAATGGTTTATGGAAGTATAACAATGAGAGGAGGAAATTCATGTGGCTGGTGCGAGAGATGGAAGTTAAGACATGTTGGGTTAAAAGATCGACTAATTCCCTAGCTGACGGTTTAGCTAAACAAGGGGCAGAAAGGGATTCACTGTTTTGGGCTAAGCTGTAACTTTAGTGTATTCTTTTCTCTTTTTCTTCTTTTTTCTTTATTTTATGAGGCTCTTAGTGACTCTTGGGAGATAAGTGTGTTTGTCTTCCTCCTGTAAATTTTCTACTGATGATTTAATGAAAGTGTTATTGATAAAAAAAAAAGTTATTCTTTGGTTGTCCACTAGTCTTTAGTTCATTTGTAATTTAAAAAATTCAATAGAGGCATTTGGAGCTAGCTTATGGATAGAATTAGATTTGGTTAGCAAGGGTGTTTGAGTTATAAATGGTTGTTTTGTATTTTGTTTTAGATGTTTTCCCTTTGTATGGTGAAATCTCACTGTCAATGTATTTTTATCCTTTTCCTTTAATAAAATTTTATTTCTTCTTATCAAAAACTAATAAGAAGTTAGCCCATACTTATGGAGAAAATAAGCTGGGCGACCATGCCAAAAGATTCTTTACCTTTGGCTTAAAATTACAAAATATTTAAGACTCTTAATTGGTTTTTGGACTAAGGGGCTTTCTAACTGGGATCATTTCACCCTTCCCATGGCCCCAGATAACTCTTTTTTTTTTTTTTTGGTATTTGGTGCCATGCACCATTGATAACTTTCCCTTGACCCCTTTTTTCCCCAAAGTGTTGGTTGTGGGATTCAATTCCGTGTCAACGCTGGAACAAACCAGCTAGCACACCAACGGGCCAGCCCTCAGTTAGTACCCCCAGATAAGACTAGGGATGGCAGTTTCTACCCTACCCGGTGGGTACCTGCCCCTACCCTCCCTGACGGGGCAGTTTTTTTGCTCGAGGGATGGGTATTGGGGCAGGGAGAGGTTTTGGGATTCTACAACCCGTATGGGTACAGGTAGGGTACAGTATTAGGGTAAACCTGACCCTCCCCGACTCGCATTGTTGGGAAGCATATAAACTTTATGTACTACGTGTTGAATTTAATAATATTTTGAATTTTATGTAAAGGATAATTTATAGTTTGTGTTTTCTACATGTCTTAATCAAATAATTGGAAATTTTGTTGTTTATTTGTGTTATTTTACTTATTTATTGCTGGAAATAATAAAAAATTAGATGTGAGTTCTAAACCCAACCCGCCCTTACCTTTGAATGCGGGGAGGGTAGGTTTGGAGAGGGTTTTGCATTTTCATATACGGGGAGGGTTTGGGTGAACAAAATCTAACCCGCTACGGGTTTTGGGGCGGGTACGGGTTGGAAGGTTTAGGGAGGCAGGTAGGGTCTAGAATTTACAAAACCCTCCCCGAACCCACCCCGTTGCCATCCCTACATAACAGGGACCAACAAGGCAACAACAGTTGTGGCCATTAGTTGGTTTAGGGTCTTTAGACGAAGACTATACAGAACTTCCTATGCATTATTCAACATCTCCTTAAACACGGATAAAGGCCATAAAACGTAAGGTGGTAACTGCTTTATTGTACAAAACATGAATATTGAAGTTTTTGGAAAGGACGTAACATTAATCAAAGTTAGAACAAAGCATGCTGTGCACCAAAAGACCAAGTGAGCCTATGAGCAGTTATTGACACTGCTCCTAAGAGGAATCTAATGTAGGGTGTATGTGCAGCACCTAGTTACCTGTGGAACCTTATTACATGGCTGGCCTTTCTCTGAACATTGCAGGAATAATATCTTTGCTTCCTTCTTTAGTTGAACCTTATTATTCAGGAAAGTAAGAATAATATTTACGCTATTACAGAGGTAACTTTGGCCTTTTCCTGAAAGTTTTTTGTTGTTTCTGTGAAATCTTTGCTTCCTTCATTAGTTGAACTGTGCACTTTATTAAGCTTATCTGCTTGTGTTCATTTTCTCTTTTAATGCTATACAAGGTTTTTTTTAGTTGATATAATTTTATTGTCTAGCAGATAACAAAAGCTTTGGTATAATTTACTTTCTCACATCTTTATTCAGGACTGTATAAATGCTCTTCAGAGGAAATTTCCTGAGAGCATGAGGGTTGGTGAGTTCAGCAAACCTAAAGTTACTGTACAGGGGGATCTCCTAATTTTGAATAATTACTTTCAAATGTCTTATGCTTGTTTGTTGTCCTTGCTTTGGCAATAATCAATAGGTAGGTTAAAAGGGATGTTGCTTGAAGCTAGGGGATCATGGAAGGATGCAGAAGTAGCTTACTCAAGCCTTTTAGAGGATAACCCACTCGATCAAGTAAAGTTGCCAGCATGGTCTTCTTGACATTAAAATTGTATCTATGACAAAGAACTTATGCTACCTTTTTTTGGCAAGAAACTATGCTTCTATGTTCCCCAGAAATGCAGAAAAAATAAGCCTCATTTCATTTTTTTTTCTTTTTCACTCACCAGGTAATCCAGAAGAGGAGAGTTGCCATGGCAAAGGCACAAGGCAATATTTCAGGGGCCATTGAGTGTCTCAATAAGTATCTTGAAATGTAAGCCAGCATGGTATTCCAATATATGATTATTATTGCATATGTTTTTACATGCAATGATATTTGGCCATAGAAGCATCTCTTAAATCCCTACTTTTTTTTGGGTTACAGATTTATGGCAGATCATGAGGCATGGAGAGAACTTGCTGAAATATATGTTTCACTACAAATGTGAGATATTTGTAAATGTTATTTTATGGACAACCATACCAAGCAGCCTTGGAGTTTCTGATTTCCAGTGCTGTTGATGCCACAAAACTTGATGTTTGAGCTATTATACCAGATGGATCCAACAGGATTGATTGTGGTGTTTCCAGCAATGGAAGTTAGAACCTAGCAGATCATTTTCTATATATAGTGACAGATATAATTATCTTTTATTATCTCAGCATTTCATGCCTTATAGGTCCTGCATTTTGTTAAGTTTCTTCTTTTACTTGCCGTAATCAGGTACAAGCAAGCAGCTTTCTGTTATGAGGAGCTAATATTATGTCAACCGTTGGTTCCCCTATATCACCTAGCATATGCCGATGTGAGTAATTCCAGTTTAGTGTAAATATGTGATTACACGAAAACATATACTCAACCGTAGACTTGTCAACCCTTAATTACATACACATTCACCCCTGTAAAAGTATTTTTTTTTATATTAAAAATAATCTGGAACATTGAACATGCAGCGTAGACATGTATGCATATTGTGTATTTTACAGTTTTTGAGAACACTTGAAATTGAACTTGGTAATGGACCTTAATACCATTGTCATGATGCCCACCTGCATAATGATCTGTTCCCTATGAAAACCCTAGAAACTGAAATTTTTATCCGAGAAACCTCCAAGATTAATATTTTTTACCTAAGACGTTGGTGTGTATATCTCATACTTTTTAAGAAAGCTTGAATTAAGCTCCTATCGTTTTGCTTCCTTGCCTCAACAGGTACTCTATACACTTGGTGGGCTAGAAAACCTTCAGATGTCTAAGAAATATTATGCATCTACCATAGATTTGACTGGGGGCAAAAACACCCGAGCGCTTTTTGGCATTTGCTTGGTTCTCTCTCTCTCTCTCTCTCTCTCTCACACACACACACACATACACATGCACGTGCACTTGCACAATGGTTCCCACCCTAGCATCAGCTTAGCCTCATCACCCCAATTACCTGAGTACTGGCTAATGGGTGGTGTTGGTTCTGTTATCCAGTGTAGTGCCGCCATTGCGCAGCTTTCAAAAGGGCGGAACAAAGAGGACAAGGATAGCTCAGAACTGCATACTCTGGCTGCAAAGACCTTGGAGAAAGAGTACAAGCAAAGGTCTCTCACCAAACTCCCTCTTCTCACTGCAACCTTGAGAAACTTGAAGCTTCCTTCCTGACTCTTCTACTTGCATTCCTTGGGACTGATTCTTACACCTTGCTCTTGGCAAATTTGAAAAGGTTCAACAATCTAATGATAATTGACTCCAAATCGCAGAAGCCTTTTTTGTTCCATATTTTATTTCCTTTATTTATTGATATCAGGTAGTGTATTTCTCGGTATCATGTTGAACTAAGAAAAATCCAAGCTTTTTTCTGAATTAGTCCTCTGATTTTGTGTTTAGTTTTGTCTTAAAATCCGTGTGGATATGATGTGAAAGAAAGAATGGCGGAGTGATCTAAGCTGGCATGTTTTGGATCCTATCTGCCCTTCCGACATTTTTGTGTTTGCATTACTTGCTGTAAAAGTTCCTGGTGGAGGATACATACAGCTCATTACATCTTCAATGCCTTGAAACTTGGAGGTGAGGTGACGGAACATAATCTGGTCGCTTCTGTGCGTTTGGGTGGAATGATAAACAGGTGACAAATTTGTGTGCGTTGGCAACTTGGCATTTCAGACTCCAAAGTGTTGACCCGGCTGTACTTGATCGAGCCCAATCGAGTGAAGTAACTGTTGGACATTTGCCGAACTAATGATCCAATCACGTTATCACCAACTAATGGACATTTGCCGACCTACTATCCGAGATCACATCTCCGCCCCACAGTACGTGGGGGTGGGGTGGGTGGGTTTGAATGATCAGCTCGTGAGAACTGTCAAATTTTAAGACCCGGAAAGGTCACCAGGTCACAAAGTCAATGGTTCACTTGTTGGGTCCATCTAATCCGAGGCTAACAACATCGGTGGAGAGTGGAAGTATGAATTTATGAAACTATAGAATAGTAATCGAGTCCGCAGTTGATGATCATCATATATTGAATTGTTAGATTGGAATCATTGGAATAGTAGTTTCATAAAAGAAAGAGATTAGAATGTTCTTTTGAAGGCTGCAGGTAAATTCATACCTAGGAGCTAGGATACAACAGAGGTTTTGATAGGAAATGACAACCAACAAAAATGAATGTCGAAAGAGAAATCTTCTAGAATTAATGGTATCAACTTTGGTTCCAGAAAAGAAAATAAAAAAAAAATTAATAAAGAAAATAACTTGAAGAGGAATGTGTTTTGTTGTTTTTTAAAGCCTAGACTCCATTTGGAAAGACTACAAATACAAATATATAGTGTAAAACCTTGTATTTTGTATGTATTTATACGGTATATATTTGTATTTGTATTCAATTTGGAAGGAGTACAAATATAAATATGTAGAGTGTAAAGCCTTGTATTTTGTATTATTTTTCATATATTTGCACGATACATTTTTATATTTGTACTCTTTCCAAATTGAGGCTAAGGTTGCATTTGGAAACGATGCAAATGGAGTATAAATCCCGGTTCAGGGTAAATTTGCACTTTGGTTCACTTTTGCCTGTGTTTAACAACATTACATTTATGCATTGGACCAATGCATATTTACATTGATTATAAGATGTAAAAGTACATCAATAAAAAAGAAGTACATTTGCATTTAAGTGGGTTTTTGATAAAAAAAAAAAAAAAACATATGTTTTATTGAAATTCATGTTTGCATTCATTACAATTAAGTCTGTTTGGTGAGAATGTAAATTTGTCGGTGCAAAACTAACCCAACTTTGCAATTTATATGAACCGTTTTACACTCTACATATTTGCATTCACACTTATTTGCATTGTTTCCAAATGCAACCTAAGGTGCAAATTTCATTGACAAATGCTCAGGATACAGCTCAAGAAGTTACAATCAATTCAAAAAAAAAATGATAAGGCTCAGTTTGGAAGGAATACAAATGCAAAATATGTACAGTTCAAATACATATAAAATACAAGGTTTTGCACTCTACATATTTGTATTTGTAGACTACTTATCAATATGCTGAAGAAGATGCATTTGTGTGGTCACAAATTTAACTGAAATGACTATTTATAGTTTGACCATCATAATAGTTAATGACAGTTGAGGAATTTAAAAAAAGTCATTGGTACACTTCATCAACAACTACTAGTGCAAAGTAAGTGTTGCATCCATGTTTAATAAAAAAAAGTCATTCATTAAAAAACTTTCTATAGTTTTATGGATTTACTAAAATCTATCCTATAGCTTGTGTTTTATTAAAACACCCCCTATAGTTTTGCAAGATTAATCTTCCATTAATGACAACACAAAATGACAGTTTTGACCATAATGTCCATTTGAATATATTTAACAAAAATGAAGAATATCATTTTTGCCCCTAGTAAAACATGAACAACCACTCTATTTGGCTTTATTTGCTCTTTTTTTTTTTTGCAAGAAATGTTAGGGATACTTTTGGAATAAACAATCATGGGCCCATGCCCTTGAACATTTTCCACTCAGTTTAGGTGATTATGTTACTATTTTATATGAAAAAAAAACACTTCTTAGTGAAAGGTCATTGAGCAAATAGGTTGCAAACTATAGGGGTGTTTTAGTAAAATAAAAATAATAGAATAGATTTAAATAAATATATAAAACTATAAGGGGTGTTCTAATAAATGACCCAAAAAAATTATATAAGCAACATTATAAACAAGAAAATTAAATAAAATTACCAAGTGATGGTGGCTTAGTTGGTGCCTTGTGGGATCTCCAGTGGAGACTTGGGATGATATACGTACTCCTACAAGACAAACAAAACACAACAACTAACAAAAAAAAAAACATGCTACTTAATTAAAGACAAAAGCCAATCTGGAATATCTTCTTCCAATCGTAGCACTGAACGAGCACCAATCTTCGCAAGCTTATGAGCAGCAGCATTCCCACCTCTAGGACACCACAAAAAATCAACAGCCATACCTTCACAAAGCTTACACTAGATCAGCTGCACAAAAGGGAGAAGAGTTGTTGAGGTAAAAAATGAGTTATTGACAGTCCAACTCAAAGATCACCCGTTATAGGCTCTTCCTCTTGGCTATCGTCACAGCTTCCACTAAAGCCATGGCCTCTGCTAATAGGGGAAGTCAGTTGAAAAGGAGCCACAGGCAGCCCAGCAGCAAAAGTCAGCTGAGGGAACCAACAAAAAGAAGGGTCCCTATGACCCTCAGCTGAAGAGTTTCCCAATTCCTGCTGAAGAGCAGAGACGTCTCTGTTGTCAACCTGTTTATTGCATTAATTACATTCCCAGGATTATAGGATGAATTTTCAAAGATACCTCTATTTCTGTCCTTCCAGATCTCCCAAAGACCAGCAAGCAAACTAATAGTATTTTCCACATGAGAAGCTAAATCAGATTTGAAAGATAAAGCAAGCCAATCAAAAAAAAAAAAAAGTGAGAGAAGGATTAATCCTATCAACCAACAGGCCCAAACTTGAGCCAAACCATACACACTTGCTTTTCTCACAAAGTAACAGCCATGCATTGACAGTTTCATTTTCTTTCTCACACCTGGGGCAAAGAGGAGATTGTACAATCTTTCTTTTATAAAGATTCTCATTCACAACTAGACTGTTAGTATTTTTCGGTCCACAAGAAGGTGCCAAAATTTTTTTTCCAAAAGGACTTCTCCCCACCAAACGGCCTCTAACCGGAATTGTGTCATACAATTCCTGGGAGGCAAAGAAATAAACCGATTTTAACTGTAAATTGCCTTGACTTTGATCCTAACCAAATGGGTTTGTCCTCCCAAGAATTTAGAGAAATCCTTAATTGTAAAATCTTTTCAGCTGTCTCATCAAGAAACAGTTGTTTTACTGCTTGGATATTCCATGACTTGGAAGAAGAAATATATTGATTTTTTCAATAGACCCCTAATTTTTATGTGCACTGAAGGCATTTTATTGCCTTCATAGTTGGCCAACTTCCTAATTCATAGGTAAATTATTTATCCACTTATCCCGAAAAATGGCCAAAGTTGAATTTCTTTGGGCCCCGCACTTCCCAAAAAGAAAACTTCCACATTGACCTTGACCACCCCAAAAACTTAACCGGCAAATGAACCGGCCCAAAGCTATTTTACACAACACAGAAATTGCTTTTTAATACGTGGGACGTGGTGGCTAACACAGGAGTGATTTTTTTTTAATTCTGAAAATGGGGGTGTAGATGTTTGCTGCATCATCTTTTGAGTCAACAGTCTTAATCTGCCACGAAGTCAGCCCTGTGGTCACGTTGGAATATGATTACGGGCTACGGGGTCACTAAAAATTCTATTTGGTGCCTGCGTGGCTTATGTTGTCCAGGACCAATTTCGTCATTTTGTCGAAAGGCATTTTTGTAGTTTCAGTTTAAAACAGTGGTATGGGTTTGTTGGTACTGGAGTGGAGAAGCCGAGGAGGTATTAGGTATACAGAGTTATAGACGATTGCAAATTTTAGGGTTTGAGGATTAGGGTTTTTGGCGATCAAGGTAACCGTGCTCTCCTCAGGCTACCCACAAATCTAATCTCTGTCGACAATGGCGGTCGGGTATTTCCCTTTCTCATTGTCCCTCTCAATTGTAGTCTGTATTCACACCTATTGAACTTGACTTGTTCGGTTTATTTGGCCATTTTTTAACAGGAAGAATAAGAGGATATCGAAGGGAAAAAAGGGTGGAAAGAAGAAGGCGTGAGTAGTAAACTGTTGTATTTTTGTTTTTCATATTCTGTTTTCTCATGGAAATCTGATCTTTGTTTTACAGAGTCGATCCCTTCGCCAAGAAGGACTGGTATGATATCAAAGCGCCTTCAATCTTCACCACTAGAAATGTCGGGAAGACCCTTGTTACCAGAACCCAAGGAACCAAGGTCTTTTTTTTTTTTCTTTTCTTTCGCCTAAATCTGGTTATCTTTCATATTTGGTGATCTCGTTCTGCAATCTCCATGTTTTAGTGTGTGAATGCGTATAAAACCAAATAGTTTAAGCTTTCTTTATTGGAAATTTGATGTTAGAATATGAAGAATCTACAATGGAAGTTTCAGTTAGTAGAAAAGTAACAAAGAAAAAGAACTTGTAGTATGTACTTTCATTTTTTGATCTGAGCTTGTTTTTCCGATTCTTATGCATGGGCCACTCCTTCTGAACTGAATCTAAATATAATTTGTACTTTCATTTTTATGTTCTGAATCTAAATATACTTTCATTCTTATGCATGGGCTACTTGTCGCTGTTATAATTTTGTGAACTGAATCTAAATACAGTTTAGACCTCTGGTGTGGGAATATTGTCACTTGCATTTTCCAGGAACAGTTGTCCCCTGTCTAGTGTGATTTGGTCACTAGTAGAAGTTTTGGTTTTTAGTTGTTCTTGTTATATCTCTTTGTTGCACAAATTGCCTTTAATTTATGAACCATTGGACCCTCATATTCCATCCTTTGTTGCACAAATTTTAATTATGTACATATCCCAGCCTTACCTGTTATGAGGAACTTGATTCCATAGTTGGGATACTGTGGATTACATGTATAAGTGGGAACTTAAGCCTGATGTTTCTCTTGCCAAGCATGGATTTTCCGGTTTCTTCTTTTGCTTTAAAAGAATCCAGTCTTCATGTCTCAAGTTTAGTTGTGAACTGTAGCATGAAATATAAACAGCACTTCTGTTCTTTCTCTTCACTGCTCTTATGTGTTTTGGTGGAATCAGATATCTGCCATTCATTTCAGAAGGGTTCCAAGTTTTCAGCTTTCTTTGTTCTCTCTCTACAGATAGCATCAGAAGGACTCAAACACCGAGTGTTTGAGATTTCCCTTGCTGATCTTCAGGCCGATGATGATCAATCCTACAGGAAGATCCGACTGAGAGCAGAAGATGTCCAAGGAAGGAATGTCCTCACTAACTTTTGGGTAAGTCTAAAAGTTTCCAAAGTCCTGCTTGCAGCAAACCTATAATGTATAAAATTGAAACATTAGAAATTCTAATTGAGTTTGGTTGAGTCAGGGGATGAATTTCACCACAGACAAATTAAGGTCTTTGGTGCGGAAGTGGCAGACATTGATTGAGGCACATGTTGATGTCAAGACTACAGATAACTACACTCTAAGGATGTTCTGCATTGGATTCACCAAGAGACGCCCTAACCAGGTTAAGAGGACCTGTTACGCACAATCCAGCCAGATCCGGCAGGTAGAACTCATATTTACAAATTACAAGTGCTAGTTCCCACTTCAGATATTTCTACAATATATTTTGCTAAATCTAAGTTCATGGTTGTGGTTTTCTTCTTTTCTTAGACAAACTTTACATGTATAAAGCTAGAAACCAATGTCTATAGAATTTCATTTACGTGCAATCTCTTTTAGTCATACTTGTGCAACAAAGTTGATTTTGTAACTGTTCATATTTGTCAGATTCGCCGTAAAATGAGGGAAATCATGGTAAACCAGGCAACATCTTGTGATCTGAAGGAATTGGTGCAGAAATTCATCCCTGAGGTGATCGGCAAGGAGATTGAAAAGGCTACCTCAAGCATTTATCCCTTGCAAAATGTCTTCATTCGTAAAGTTAAGATCTTGAAGGCTCCAAAGTTCGATCTTGGCAAGTTGATGGAGGTATGTCTCTCCCCCCCCCCCCCCCCTCTAACTAATGCAAACAACTTGACCTAAGAAGACACAAAACCCCCAATTTAGCTGATTAATTTTAAAAGATGAATTGAAATGTTTAGGGGGTAGGCAGCAGGAACTAACCTAAAACTCTACTTCTACATCATTCTTTATGTCACAATTCATGCATTTTTTTTTATCAATAACCACAGAATTCGTTAATATTGGTAAAAAGTTACAGGGAAGAGGAGCTAAAAATTCTTAACTCCCCAGTACAGAAATACATCTAGGGCCGTGCAGTGGTTGATGGCTCCCATTGTTTTTCACCAAAGATTGCTTTTTTGGCTTCTGTGCCTTAATATCTGTGAGAAACAAACAGCAGCAGTGTGGGGTAGCCCTTAACAATAAAATGTGGTATGCAGGAAAAAAGATGTAAGACCTGCTTAAGGAGAACTTAGCTGCCAACTGAGGGGTGGCTTGGTACGTTAGCTGGTTTGTTCCAGCAGAGACGTGAATCAATTCCTGCAACCACTGACTTTCGGGAGGGGTTATAACAAATAAGGATAATTTAGCCCTGTATCGATCTGTTGTTTTGTCACCATTCTCCATGTTTGGCAACATTGATGCACTTATCCCATTCTGGAAAAAACATGCCCAGTAGAATATCATAACTGTTTGCAACTAGTGTAGATAGCTTATAGAGATAGCTTCTTTTTTGTTCTGATTATATGCCTTGACTAATTTATTGTTTATTTGGATTTGGTTGTAGGTTCATGGCGACTATTCAGAAGATATTGGCATTAAGATGGAGAGGCCAGCAGAGGAAACAATGGCAGAAGGAGAGACTGAAGTTGTAGGAGCTTAAATGATGGTTTTTCTTTAATTTTCAGTGGAAGTTTTTGGTATCCATTACGTTAATGAGAGAGAAGTTAATTTAATTTAATTGGTGACATACCCAGATAAACGATAACCTTTTTTTATTCATTTAGAATTGTGAGCAGCAGAATGTTTATGACATGAAGAGGAAATATTTAAATGAGATGAATTGTACTTTTGTCTTAAACCAAGCCCATCAAGCTCCCTTAATATTCTCTTTTTCAATGAATCCTTTACAATTGAACGATTGATTTAAATAGATCAAGCGTTTCTTGGTTTACGTTTAACCTCCCCCAGTTAAGGTGGTGGAGGATGTATGTCATGGCGGCATGGCTCTCATCTTTCAAATACCAAAATTGATTATAGGGATTGCGAAATGGTGATAGAGATTTGGTGTTAGATTGTAGTGGCTCATTTCTCATGATGTACCAGTTGCCACATGCGTTTATGCAAAAACCGGCAACAAAGCTCACTTGGTAATGCTGATTTGCAGAAACGATGGTCCAATTATCCAACGTCATGCCTACAATTTTCGTAGGTGGGTTATAATAACAATTTGGATAAATTACAAAGACCCCCTTTGTTTTACAATAAATGCTCCCCTGTACTATGACTAATGTTAGATTTTCGTTGAAATCTGTCATTACAATATTTTTTAATCTCTATACTATTCTTGTAATAACTATTCGGATAATAGGGAGAAAAATATTGTACATTTTACTGATTTCACTATACACAAACAATAGTGGCATAATCTCTTCTACCTCAGATTTCTTCACATTTCTTTTTCTTCCTCTCTCTCTCCTATCTCTCTTCCCCTTCCCCTTTCTTCTTCCTGCTTTTCTTTATTCTGTCTGTTCTATCCAAACTGTCTAGTCTTCAGACTTTTCTTGGTCTTCTCTCTCCACCTCCTGAGCTAAGCTGCTGGTTCCCTGCCAAGAGAAAAAGAAGACAAGAAAAGAATTTGCAACTTAAACGAGAATGGAGTTCCTCATCTTTTTGGGAGTTGGGAGTGCCAAGATAGCAGGAGAGAATAAGAAAAGATGTAGTGATTGGATACGATCAATCTGAATCATCCGAACCAAATTGATTTGCTTGCAATAAAAGCTGGTCCAAATGGGTTCCACACGGCAACAATAGATCCTTACCTCATCAGGTTAACAAGTTCATGCTCCTATTCATTTGAAACTGGTGATGTATCTTGTCGATGGACCTTCAAATTTGTCGACCTCTTTTTCAGTTCGATGTCGTAGTAATAGTTTAAAGAATCTAGATAATGTGAAAGTTAGAAAACAAAGGCAGAGAAGGTGGGGTGGGGTGGTACTGGGCAGTCCCAGATGAGCTGGAGACAAACTTATACACACCCCGACTGAACTATTTATCACGGTTGAATACATCAGTACTCACTGTAGACCCCATCTGGGACCCAGTTGTATTGAACACCGGCGTGTCCAACTGTGATAGATAATTCAGTCGAGTGTGTTGTTTTTGTCTCCAGCTAATCCGCCCCCGGTACTGGGATTACATTAAATGAAAGTGGACAGATATAGAATAACGTGGAGTTGTTGATGGATATGTGTTGGTTCATAATTTTAAAAGGGGTTAAGTGCAGAGCCAGAGTTACCAAGGAAGAACTATATATGTGACTGACAACCCTTTGGTGGTCGTGCTTCACTGCTCTGCTCATCCCATTATTTTTGATAAGCTTCAGTCGCTGTGCCGTAAGATGGCTTCACCCCCTGTATTTACATTACTTGCTTTTTGACTTTAGTTAACCAAAGGGGGTTTTTATCTCACAGTGTCATAGTATAGAAGGGTTTTTATCACAAAACAAAGTATAAGGGGTCTTTATCACAGACTCTATATTACGGGGGGGTCTTCTTTGTAATTTACCCTTGAATTTTTATCCTTTTCCATACATCCATTCGTTCACAGCTCCCGCTCAGGCAAGGGACTTATTCCACATGTCACTGTCTTCATAAAACCAACAGTCACAGCCCTAACGGTTTCATCATTCTCAATAAGATGGAAGTCCTCCATCTCGTTACCAAAATGATCAACGAGTTCTCTAAAACTCAAGACTCCGTTGCTGACTTGCTGGTGACAGAACTACTACTATGTTGCTGTAGTTGGTGCCCTCTTACAGCAGTGCCTCTCTCACCAATTCCTCTTGGGAATTGAACATTTGCGAATATTGCAAGTATTAAGGATACGAGGAGGATGATAAGGAGTACTTGTTTACACGATGTCCCTATAAGGTTCAAAGTATCGGCTTGTACCAGTCGATTTGTATCGTTTCGGGAGTTTTTCGATACGTTCCTATAGGGGGTGTATCGGGGTTTTGACTAGTTCAGGGGGTGAAGGAGTCTTAAATCGTTCCCTGAATTGGTTTTAAAAAAATAAAAAATAAAAAAAAGTACTAATATGGCCCGATACACCCTTACCGATGTATTAGGCATATCGATATTTTGAACCTTGTGTCCCTATGCGTTGTCAAATGTTTGTTGAACCCGAGCCTATTAGACTGGTTCTGGTTTTAGAATTTGTCCCGATGGATCAGTTTTGGTTTCAAATATATTTTCCCGATTATTATTGGGTCAGAACCAGGTCCATCATGTCCCAAAGCGATTAGGACTTGGACCGAGTATTTATAATTATATATATGTATTATTAAATATATAATAATTAATAATTAATAAATTATATACATGTAATATTTAAACAAAATATGTCTAAAATGGTCATTTCGGCACGGTTTCTTTCAAAACCCAACCAAAACGCCATTTCACATTTGCTTGCCCCTTTCATTTCTTCTTTTCAAAAGGCAAAGTCTGAAACATGGGAAAATAGAGAAAGAAAGGCCGACATCGTCCCTCCGTTCGTCTGTCAACAATCTCTCATGGTCAAGGCTAGGGGTGGATTCCAACCGAGCCAAGCCGAATAGTATGAGGCTCGAGCTCAACTCGAGACTATTCTATAAGGCTCAAGCTCGATTTTAACCAGAACCTTGAGTTCGAGCTCGAGCTCGATTTTGAAAAAATATTTTATAAAAATAGAAAATTATATATAAAAATATTTTTTATTTTATATTAAAAAAATTAATAATTATAATATTTTTGTTATATATATATTCAAGTTGGCTCGCGAGCCTTACGAGCCGAGCTCTAATAGGCTCGAGCTCGACTCATTTAATAATCGAGCTAGTGAATTGGGCTCGAGCTCAATTGAAATCGACCTAAGCCAAGCTCAAAAAGCTCGAGAAAAACTCGCCTCGTTGCCACCCCTAGTCAAGGCCTCACCGTTGTTTTCTCCTCAAAGAAACACAAAGTCACTGAGTCATAGCACAGGTATGTATCCTCATTCTCTCTCCACCATTGCTCATAGTTTCATACAGTACCAATAGTACCCTTTTCTCCTTCGATTTCTTCTGAGAAAAACAGGGACCCTATCCCATTTTGATCATCCTCCCATTCTTATTTTATTTCAAGAAAAACAGTGGGGCTTTGCCCTCTTTCTCTTGGTCATCCCCACATTTTTACATATTTAAATTTATGATTCCATCACCATTTTAGCTCATTAATCTGCAAAATGTAAATAGAAAGTTGATAATTAATAATTTACTATTTAAAACTAGCAGGGACCGTGTGATGCTCGAGATTTGTTAAGTTAAAAATAAATAATAGAAATATGTAAGAGTATACAATTGTTTTATATAATAATTAATAATCATTTATAATTTATATACTACTTTTAATAAATTTTTACAATACAAAAATAACAATAATTAATTTTAAATAGGGTTGTTTATCAAATTTAGGGATGTCAATTTTCCCCATTTCCCCAATCCCCATGGGGATATGCCTCGAATGGGGCGGAGATGGGGACTATTTTCCCCTGCGGGGATGGAGATGGGGAAATTTTCATCCCATTGGTGGGGACGACACGGGGACAATGAGAGAACTCCCTGCCCCACGGGGACCCTGATCCCCGTCCCATGTGATTCCCACTTATAATATTTTTAAAAATATGGTATAATATGTTTGAATCTTTTATAATAGGATTATAAATTTTAATTATTTTATTTTTATTTTTTAAATAAAATAGAAAACAAAAACATAATGGTTGACATTATAAAGAATCATGGGGAGTGGAGATCCCCGTGGAGATAGGGATTGGGAGAGGCTCCTCGTCCCCACCCCGCCCTGTTGCCATTTCTAATCAAACTAATGAAATTGGCCAACCCGATTTCTAGTATTTTCAGCTAAATTTGGTTCAACAGTTTTCTAACCCAAATGAGTTGGATTAGTTTTGCAACTCTTTGACTATTTGTAAACTAACTAAAATTGAATGACCTAACCATAAATGTATATTAATATTTTATATTTTAAATATATTTTTCGGGAAAGTGGGAAATTTCCAATATTTCCTAGGCTAAAATATTTCTACACTTCCTTGTTTTAATATATATATATATATAGATTGTGTAATATATTAAATTATTATTAATTTCAATATTATGTTATAATTATTTTTCTACTTTGAAGAAATTTTTTAAATTTATTACATAATTCTGTTATTTTAACTATTTATAATCTAGTTATGATAAATATTTAAATAATCTATAAAATGTTTATTTTTTTTGTTATTTGAATTTTATTTCTTTAAAGCTATTACATATTATTCAATATTTGAAAAACATTTAAATTGATAATCCAAAAAAACATAATTTAAATTGTTAGTACATAATTTCATGATATATTTTGTAAAAATATAAAATTATTTTTTGTGTTTTTAATAAATATTTTAAAGTTATTATATAATTTTGTTATAATATTTAAATAATTCTTAAAATTTTAAATCTAAACTTTCTTTATATGGATATAGATAAAAAGTAGGGGAGAGGATAAATAGGAATTAGAAATAATTTAGGAGAGAAACTCTCTACTAAATTAGAGATAATTTGGAGAAAGTGGGGGAGGTAGTTTAGGATAAATTTTAGGAGAAGAGATTATTTAGGTTCTGGGAAAGTGCATATTCGGTTGCTTCAAAAATGACATGGAATAAAAAAAATAAAAAATTCAAAAAAAAGAGAAAATTTCTTCACTGCCTTATTTTAATAATAGAAAGGGTCACTTACTAAAATGCCCTTATAGTTTCATGGATTTACTAAAATACAATATAGTTAGCATATTACTAAAACACTACTTATAATTTGCAATGGATTT